TCTGCGACGGCGTCGCGCACAACTCGTAAAAGTGCAGCATCGCCTCGTCGGCGCCCTCGGCGTCGGGCGATGCGAAGGCGCTCTCGCCCGCTTCGACGACGAGGAGGTGCGCGCACGGCAGGCCGATCGCGGTCGTTGTGCCCACCAATCGAACGCGGCCCTCGGCGGCGCCTTGCGTCGGGAGTCGCAACCGTCCCGCCCATGCGCGCACCAGCGCGTTCCATTCACGGCGTTGAAGCTTGCGGGGCTCGCGCTGGCGCCAGTGGGCGAGCGACTCGATCGCCGCGGCGGCCTCTTCGAGCACGTCCCCCGCGGGGCGGTCGTCGGGGTTCGCCGAGGCGCCGATGCCCGCGTGGCCCAGCGCCCGCAGCGCCGCGTCGATCGCGTCGAGCCAGGCGAGCGGCGTGGCGTCGCCGGCCAGCTTGTCGCAGGCCGCTTCGATCGTTTCGAGAACTCCCAACGCCAGCTTTGCTTTCCTGACGGACTCTATCAAACGCAGGCTAGCGCTGGTGGTGTCGAGTTCGGCGAGATGTCGGGCTTGCTGCAACAAGTACGGACCGCCAGATGGGATTTGTTGCTCTCGCACGAACCATTCAGCGGCGCCGCGATCCGTAAGCTTGGTGAAGTCGCTGCGTGACAGGACGGCCAGCAGCGCGTCGTATCGCCAGTTGCTCTCGACCAAGCCGAGCAGCGCGCGGATGGCGCTGGTGACGCCGGCGGTCTCGAGTCGTGGCGAGGCGTCGACCGCGACCGGCACACCGTACTCACGCAGCGCCTCGACGTAACGCGGCGCGGCCGCGTCGATCGAGGGCGCTGTGAGGACGATGTCGCTCGGCCGCACGCCGCTGGTGAGCAGCAGCTTGACGCGTCGCGCGACGCGGCGGGCCGTGTCGTGGGCGCTGCCGCCGGAGACGATGGCGACGCCGGCGGAAGTGGGAAGTTGGGGGGCGTTGTCATCGAACAGGTGGCGCCGCACGTGGGCGAGCCCGGGCGGTATGGGGTCGGCCTCAACCGCCTGATGCAACTCAATCGCCGGGAGCAGCTTCTCCCAGCGTTCGCGCAGCCGCTTCGCCGCGGGGAGTTGTGACTCTGCGGGGTCGTCTTCGTCGGGGCCGGCGATGGCGATGGTCGCTTCGTCGACGTTGGCCAGGATCGCGGCGATGAGCCCCTCCTCGATCGGCGTTAGCGCCAGCGGCAGGTCGATCACCAGCCGGCGGGGCGTGTTCGTGCGGTCCGCCTGCTGCGTCGCGACGAGGATCGCCTCTTCGTCGTCGGCGAGGTTGTCGCGGTCCAGGGCGGCCGTGTAGTCGCGGTAGAGCCGGGCC